CTGGAATAATAGTTTTTATTGGAATTCTCAAATATACACGACAACAAATGATTTGACTTTTGATTTTTTCCTTTAATTTTTCATTTATCCAATATACACATAGAATGTATATAGTTTGTTTTGAATTGAACTTAGTTAACAGCACATTAAAATACATAAATGTATATTTATATATGTTTGTGAAAGTATTAATATTGATAGGAATTTATTGTGTACAGCACGTCTTTTGATGTATTATTTAAGTGCGTTGCCCATGGGGTACTTCTATTACAATAGATCAAAAACCATATTAGAATAAAACTGAACTGAACTTAAGTTGTTTTTAGGTAGTTGTCTTATAATTTTCCAACATATTTTTTTTTTATTTATTTTGCTTAAATTTTGTTTATATAATTGCATTTAATTGACACCGAATATATCTCATATACATATATATATATCAGACGTTTATGACAATGAGCAGGTCTAAAAACTAAAATTCAACTAAATTATTCATTTGTACGTATTCATGTACATATGTATATAGCACAGTTCGATAATTGGACTAGTTTTGGCCCCAGATCCCATCAAGCTTCTGAAACATACTTTATGTAGGGCATAAAGCTGTCCTTAACGGATCGTAGAGCCTTCTTTATCACAACTGAAATAAATTGAGTTAATGAACTGCGTTTTTTAGTTGACCAACTTTTTGGACGAAATTTGTCCAGTTTAACAAGCACAGGTCTCTTTTGATATATGGTGTAAAGGTACATACAATTGCCTGAAGCATAAACTTTGCTATGGATCAACTTTAAATATACTTTTATATAGCAGCAACAGAATTGTTTATGTAATTCAAAAATTGCAAACAAGTTAACCGGAATTCCTCATATTTCTTTATATGTATTTCTTTTTTGATGATATGTTTGTATAGCATATCATTTTCCAACACTTAAGTTCTGTCTTTACCACTCACTAGCAATAGGCATTTATCAATCAGCAGCCTCAAAACATACATCGCAATCCAAAAGTATTTTTCATATTTTTTAGGTGTTCGAACATTGGTTTTCAAATTCATTTGGGGTTTTACTTTGTTTTCGTTTTGGTGGTGAGCGTGGCGGGTGGTTTTTTTTGTAGTTGTATTGAGTTATAAATATACATCTAGATATTTATAGAATATTACTATATATTTTTTTTTTGATATATGCTATGTGCAACAGTCGTAATAACCTTTTTGAAATACTTTAAAAGTGAAACAGAAATTTAACTTGACAACACTTTGATTATAAGTATGTGAGTACATATTTTATAAGTTTTCCAACACTGGCTCGACTCTTAGAATGGGATAACACAAATACGAAATCAAACGTAACATTCGGTAATATATTCAAACAAATTTACAGCAACATTTAACTTTGATTAGTTGGGAGTTATTCATTTTGCGTTCTTATGATATGCTTTTTACCTTAAAGATACTTCTTGGTTGTATGAACTACGCAACAGTATCTAGATTTATCTTTGGAGAAAATGATGATTTTCTGCTCGAATCGCTTACAAGTCATCGCCCAACCGGTGTATCTCGTCGAGCATAAAGTCCACATCCTGCTCGGTCACAGCAGCCGACGAGATGATCGAGCGGAAGAAGTTGGGTCGTCGATCGTCTGGCTGATAGCCCACCATAAGTGTGCCCTTCTGCATCATGCGATTCTTGATAATTGGACAGATCTGTAAAAGTGTCAAATAGAGATTGTCTGACTCAGAAGAAGTAGAAAGAGTTTGTTTGCTTACCTTGCCCAGTTCCACTTCCTTCTTAGCGTCATGTGGCACGCCCCTCAAACGCTTGGGCACATACCAGAACGAGACATTAACGCATTCCGGCTCCAAGATCAAATGGAATCGATCGGATTGGGCGCGTATGCGCTTTAACTGATACTGAACCAATTCCATCAAGCGATCCTGCTGCTGCTCAAAGCCCTCGGTGCCCTTGGCGCGCCACTGCAGCCATAGCTTGAAGATGTCATTGTGGCGTCCACACTGGATGACCTTATCGCCAGTGTCGTAGCTAATGTCGTAATGTTTGTCGGTCATAAACAGATACTCGGCAGACATTTGGTTGCAGCTGATGAGCAGGCCCTGCATATGGAAGAAGATTTTTGCTATCAATATAAATGGAAGAATTTTCTGTTTTTTGCTCATAAGTCAAGTTGAAATTTTAATTAAAATTCCGGCTGCCAAAAGGCGCAACTGTGACCGATGGCAACATATTGCACAGAATATTAAAAAAAGAAAGAAAGGCCAATCGAGGGGTGGCTCTTACTGGGCGCATTTGCCGAGCCAAACAGCAGCAACAGCAGCAACAGGGTTGTCAAACATTTGCTCACTCATTGTAGTTTCGGGCTGCGACAACCCCTGTGTTGGGCCTGACTGTCTGACTGTCTGTCCGACTGTCGGCCCGTTGTTTGGCATGAAAAATAACAAGGAATTGTTCGCAACACAATTGGAATTCTTTAGACAAACAACAAACATTGTGATATGCACAAGAATGCATGGGGAAGTTAGACTCAAAACGATGGAAGAGCAGGTTTCAAATGAGAATAGCTCAACAAACAGTTTGGGAAAGGGTAAATTCAACAGTCAATGTGTTTAAATATATTTATAAATCGATTACTTTGCTTAGCTTAAAGCAAATTTGAATTAAATTAAAAACAAAAGATATTTATCTAGAATTAATGCTACTTACATCTTCCTTGAAATGAATAGTCGAGCACTGGAGCAGTGCTCCCATCAGCTTGTGTGGATTCCAGGTAACAGAATCGGCGCTGCAAAAGTCAAATCATAACGTGCAACAATATATTAAATGACATTCAATTACAAATTACAAACAATTAACACTAAGCTGCCGCGCTATGTGGTCTGTGTATGCGAGTAACCAACCCCTCATTGACAGTCGCACCCCCCGCAAGGACAACGACAAGGACAAGAGCTATACGGGCAAGTGCCATAAATTGTGGCAATTTCAAGCCGCAGAGCTTTAATTGAATTCAAAGCGAGCGCAACCCCAAAGCCTGAGGGGTCGACTGTCGCCGCTAAACATCCCCCTGGGGAAGCTATTTACAGTTCAGGCACGCTGCTCGTGTGGGTGTCTATAAACATGATGCTTATGGAGTGGCAGGGAGTAGGCTTCAGGTTGAGTGGCGGCATGTGGCGCATGCCACAAATTTTATCAGTCCTTGTGCTTGTGCAACTCGAAGAGTACGAAAACTTTGCAATTGTTTTAGGCATTTCCACAAGCTCAGCAGAATTAAGAGCCATCTCCTAGCGGCTAGGACCGATGCTATTAATCAACTCGGGCTTAGCTGTCAGCTGCACGCGCATTTAATGATTAATTTATAGAGCGATTGTGAGCCGTTCAATTAGGGCCCACAATTTGCATGCCAAGATCTGGTGGCAGAAGGCATGAATGGCCACTTGATGGATGGGGGCCATCAATTTGAAAGTGTTTATGGGACACTCCCTTGACCGCAAGCTGTCAATACGACAGCTGCAGTGGCGACATTTGCCTAAGCTGTGCGGGATTTTCGTTTATGGGTGCCGGGGGGAAGCGGTTGGTGTCGCAAAGTGCACTTAGGTACTCCGATTTTAACTTTAAAATTAAAAATTCCCTGCAAAACAATCTAGAGAAGCAGCCGCCTGCGGCCCATTGTTTGGCGTAATTGTTGTGTAAGTAATGCCCACCACCCATCCACCCATCCGGGCATCCGCCCATCCTCCATCCATCAAGGGCAGGCGGAAGGGTGGCCGAATGAGTGCTGCAAGGGCGCGGGTTGTATATCCACTTTGTTCATTTGTTTGTCTTTTACGTAGACGAAAGTGCACTCGGCTTTGGGCCTTGTAATCCCTTTAAGCTCTGAACACCTGATGGAGGCACTAAATGACAAATTGAGATTTTTGCCACATGTCGCTGAGGGCTTGCGCCATCGCGGGTGTGAGTACTTTGAGCGTTTTGAGCGATGCGGGCCATTTGGGAGCATTTAGATTTAAATTTGCACAACAAGAGATTTTCAATTTTTGTTTTGACTGCCTGAATATGAGGGCAAAAGAATAAGGCCGAACAAAGGGCCAGCCCAGAAGATGAATGAGAAGATTTATTGTATGGGACATGAAGACCTGAAGTCATGATGCCTACCAGGCTCATGGAATTTAAAACTAATTTTCAACAGCTTTATAAAAATTGATTGCATGTAGAATTTGTACTTTTTATAATAAATCGTCAGCATTGGGCAATATATATTATATACATCTAGTTCATGTAGTTATATATTGCGTGTTAAGATACCTCCATACATTCCCCTTAAATTGAGAGCAGGATCATATACAAATAGCATTGTGAAATTAACTAATGCAGAGTTTGGTCAAGATATCTTGAAAACAAAAAGTTCTTTTGACTAGAACTTTATTATCGAACGATGTTAGTAAGATTTTGCTTATAAATGTTGAGTTTGGGCAATATAACTGATAGAAAAGATTGCATAGAAACAGACAAGTGGACATGGCTGTATAAACTCGGCAGTAAATGCTGATAAAGAATATATATGTATATACTTTATGGGATCGGAATGTCTCCAATGCGTGGCATATTTCATTGATAAAATAATGATAAACTCTACATGGGTGTAAAAAACCTATACATATATATACTATATTTAACTCGAAGCTGAATATGGAGTATCTCCAAGTCGGGCGCTTCTCAATTGATACACTTTTCCCTGTGTTCATTTTATTTATAAGATTTTCAATAAGTTCTGGATACAATATATATATTCCATTTATATAGAAATTAAAAAAACACTACAAGAGATTAAGGCTGATAAGCTTTGAACCCAGAAAATAGCCATAATATAGAAATTTGCTCAAAGACGAAGGCAATTGTGGAATAGCTGATAAAATGAATGCGTTGATTATATATTTGTGCATATTATAATATTTTCTGAAATTTTATGCCATAGGTTTTTGTATTCAGACTCTGCTCAGTTTGATTTAGTCGGGAATGAATTTAGCTGTGCGAAGTTGAGTGACATTTCAGATCTATTATTCAAAATGCAAATCTACCTCAGAGTGTTTGGCATAATTTTTATTTTCTTATTCAATAAAGTGAACTTTATAACAATGGAAGATTCGGTTAGTTTCTGTGCTTCAAAACAGTCAATCTTTATAATCTAATGGATTTCTATTTATTAGAACTGCACTGTTTCCAGAAATTTGGATAGCCAATGCGGTGGCTACTGCTACAAGATTGTTAAGGTTCTGCTTGAACATGCCTCTTCCGTATATATGAAAGAGAAAAAGTATACAGAATTGGAAGCTAAACTTCATGAACAAGAACAAGTTATCAAACATATGGAGACACAGGAACTTATTATGCAGGCAAATCTTACTTTCCATAGAGAAACTATTAAAAGTAAAGATATACAATTGGCGCTTCAACTTGAGCTGATAAACTCATATAAAAGAAATAATTTAACGGATATAGCTGAAAAAGATTTGGAACTACTTAAATTGAAAGCTTTAAACAATGACAAGGACCTTCAACTGAACAATCAGAATAAACAACTCACATCGAAGATCTCCGCTAACGAAGATCAACCCATCTCTGACAGATGCCTAGGTAAATCGACTGGAGTGTACACGATAAAAGTTTCCGAAATGAAGACATTGTCCGTAGTCTGTGACTCAGACTTGGCCGGTGCCGGATGGATTGTGGTACTACGCCGGATTAATGGTCAAGTGACATTTAACCGAAACTGGGAAGAGTATAAGGCAGGTTTTGGAAATCAGCACGGAGAGTTCTTTATAGGCTTAGAGAACCTCCATCTACTGACGCAATCGCAACCTCACGATTTATATATACGCCTTACGGATTTTAAAAATGAAGCTCGGTTCGCCCGTTACAGTAATTTTCTCATTGGAAACGAAACAGAATCCTATGAGCTAAAAAGGCTTGGAGAATATTCAGGAAATGCTGTTGACGCCTTCAGATATCATGAACACATGAAATTTTCAACGCCAGATCGAGATAATGATTTGAAAGTCGGAAATTGCGCCAAAGATCACAACTCCGGATGGTGGTTTCATAAGTTTTATAGCTGGTAAAAAAAATAAAATTTTTATAAATATGCATAAGCCGGTTTGAGGTCAGATTAAAAAAAAAAAAACAATATTTTTGCCGACATGTTGTTGAAGTACATTGGATTTGAACTTAACAATCGCGTTTTTAAAAAATAAAATGAAAAATCGTTACCTCAAAGCGTATAAGCGGAAATTCGACAATAGCATACATTTGATTAATATTTTAAACCTATTAATGTCTTATATTGACCTTAAGCAATCTAAATGGGGAATATCGAAACGATGACACTGGTAATAATGGAGTTGATTGGAAAACATGGCAAGGAAGATCGCTGAAATTTGTACAAATGATGATTAGACCAACTTCTCATTAGGTAAAAATATTACATTTTTGTTAAGTGATATTCATGGCTACTCTCTCCCATGCGGAGATCAAGTTCAAAACTATATCCATTTTATTTCTGCGGGCATTACAAAATTTAAAGTTGACCACAATATCATCTCACCACAATCGGTCTTAAATTAACACATTACATCATGATATCTTGACTCTAACACAAGAACAAAAACCAAAATTCATCAAAAATACAACTGGGACGAAAAAAGTTGAGATATATTTGCCATTCTGCAAGATTCCATAAGATTATTTAATCTTTGGCATAATTAAGCTATCTGTTCTATCTAGTTATAGTTTGCTACCAACCTCGGATGATAAAACTGAACCGCACTGGATAACTAAGGAATACATAAGGAAATATATGGCTGGAACTTTTTGAACATATATAAATATGAACTGAATTTTTGATATGAAATCTACCATTTAAAACTTTTTCAATATTTTAACGTACACAATTTGTATATTTTGCTTAACGTAACTTTTCTTAAAAAATAAATTTTATTTGCATTTACTTTCAGTATTTCGATTTTATCTATAAAACGTCTTTGAGATTTCACACATGTATATATAGAGTGCAGAGCTGAGCCCTATCTATGCATACATTTTTCTTACTCCTTTAATATATATGTTTAATGGGCACAGAACCCTTTGAAATTGATTAAAAATCAATTTATAAAAGTGAATATATGAATTATTTTCTATCTTTGATAATACCATATGTGATTAGACTAGATATTGATTCATTATATAAGTTGTACTTACCGTTCAACTCCTGTGAATCTGGGATGGCGATGCTTACGCGACATCAGCAATCCACCGCCCCAAGCAGCCTGTTGGAGCACGAACAGAGAACTCCATTAAATATTCAAGCTAAAGCCCAATTGCTACTCACATCGATGTGCATCCAGCAATTGTATTTCTGACAGATATCCGCAACAGTATTCAGATCATCAAAGGCCCCGAGCACAGTTGTGCCGGCCGTGGCATTAACAAAGAACGGAATATCGCCCTTGGCCTTGCGCTCGAGTATTAAACGCTCCAACTCGGAGGTTATCATTTTGCCATGCTCATCGGATGGCACCATGACGCAGTTATCGGTGCCCAGACCGCAAACAGAAGCGCATGATTTGATCGAGTAATGGCACTGATCCGATGTGAACATGACCAAATTGCCGGGCAAGCCAGCCGAGCCGTGCTCCTTGTAGTTGGGGAACATCTTGTGGCGAGCGGCCAAGAAGGCATACAGATTCGAAATGGAGCCGCCGGGCGCCAAGATCGAATCACCGCCCGACCAGCCAATGATCTCACGCATCTTGGTTAGCACCACGGTCTCCATGAGTATAAAAACCGGAGCTATCTCGTATGTGAACATGTTGGTATTGGCAGTGGCGGTCAACCATTCGCCAGCCATGGAGATCAGATCCAAGCCGTTCGACAGCTGATTGAAGAAGTGCGGATGGCCTGTGGAGCAGAAGTTTGAGTTCCTGGTTTAATGTAGCTGAAAATGCCTTCCGCAATTTCGACATGGCTGTCTGTCAACTGGAGCCGGTTAAGCTGACAGCAGATGTGCCTGGCAGCTGTGTTGCCGTCTCCTGTGCCACACTTTTTTGTTTTATTAAAAATATTTCAGCTGAAACAAAGCAACAATTCGCCCACCCCAACCAAGCACGGCTGACTGGCGTTCAATACAAGGCCGGATGTGCATACGTTCAAGGGCAGACGAACCGACAAACTTTATTTGAAGCTCTATTCGGGGTCAGAAAAATCAATAGGGCCGAGTTCTTAAAGCGCTCGGCTTGCCCATTGTCAGCCCACCAATCTTGATCTGTCTTAAACTGCTCATTTATTGCAGCTAATTGCGACTTGCTGCGACTGCTCGGGAAATCCCACGAAAAATCACAAAATGCTTTCACTACAAACAGCGGGGTACAACGGCATCAGGAAGCTGTCGAAAGCCCCTCGCCAATGTGTCCTGGCCAGCGAACCCTTCGCTGCTGCTCTGGGCGTCTGTCAGTTCACATCTTGAGTGCCATAAGTCGTGTGATTAAAATCCCATTCGCCACAAGGCTAAATCCACCCACACACCCCCACACACCCCCACACACTCCCACTCAGACACACACACAGCTAGTGTATAAAAGCGTCGGCATTCAAACATTTCAATTTGCGCATGTGGCCGCAGTTGTTGCCACGACTCAGGACTTTCGCGTCACAGGACCTGAGTCACCCTCGCCTTCGACCTAGACACGAGCCAAGACTGCCAGGCCGAGCGTCAGGCAGTCAGTCATTCATTCGCATCAAAGGATCAGGAATGCAGCGAGTCAGAAAATAACAACGGATTTTGATTAAAGCTTCCCTTTTTATAGAGTCGTCCAGGAGCGAACGACAGACAGAAAGCCTCCTGGCACTCGCCCGGCCATATCATGTTTCCCCAATGGCAGGGTGCGCATTATGTGAGATTATGGATCATAAATGGGATTTTTATCATGCCAGTTTACGCAAAAATGTGCTTGTGCTACGAAAAAGAAAATTCCGCCAATGGGAAATGCGAAAATATGTGAAAACTGTTTTTTGCAATGAAGTTGTGAAAGTAAATCTGAGAAAAGACATGCTAATAGTTGTAGACAAAGTCATTTACAATGAGTTTTGAATTCAGAAACCTCGGTTCAGGTGTTTTGCACATTCATTTACGATTACCCTAACTTTTCCATAACACACATTTCTTCCCTTATAGCACATTCTGTGCTTAATTGTATTCATCAAGCAGTCAAATATAATCAGATCCTTGTTTATTCAGCTACTCGCTGATTGTATCGCCATGCCAGGCGCGTCTTCGACCAGTTTTAATTCAATTTTCAGGCAAGCAAAAGCCAAAAGAAAAAAACCTGTGCTGTATTCCAGCTCTTGCTACAAGCCAACATAATTTCCTGCATTCACAAAGTGGGCGGCGGGAGACGGAAGCTCACGCAGTTTCCTAGACAAGGCCACAGCTTCCGGGGTTGGGTGATGCTTATTATCGATACTCCAAACAGAATTGCGGTCACGTGCGCGCTCCTGGCAATGTCCTGGCCGCCCCTTGCATTAATTTTCAATGAAATCAGGCGCATATTCACGTTCAATAAAGAAAAACCAACAAAAAGCGAAACGTGCGAATGACTTTTGGCTGCTAAAGCCGCAGTCAGAACCCTTTGGCTGATTTATGATTGATGGCAAGTCAGATTTGGAGATTTAAGTCCACATCGGGTTGGCTCGGGCGAGTCGAGAGGAGTGTTTTTGAAAGGTGTTGTTGTTATTATTGCTGGGACGAGCACAGCTCAATGGGCCATAAAATGGTATTGTCTGTTGCGATGTCCTCGAAGCTAATGTGCTTATCTACAAGGCTGCACACTTTGTGCCCTAATGCGACCGCAAGTTCCTCGGGCACGCGCCCAGAAAAGTATGTTTCATCCTAACAAGCATATGCTTTGTGTTTGCGGCCTATGCAAATTTATGCAGAGACAAATTTGATTAACACCGTCTGGCTGACTGTGCAAACATATGATAAGCTACCCCTGGGAAAGGACAATCCCACCCAAACCGCGCCGCACTTACCCGTCTTCACTTGATACTTGAGCGTTGTGGCGCAGTCCTCGATCAGCTGCTGGAGCGGCAGCGCCCGATCCGGCACATCCAGGTCGAGCAGACGCTTCATATCCTCCGGATGATGGAAATCCAGCACCTTCTCATTTCGATCGTTCGTTGCCTTCACAAAGTCCAACAGCACATCGATAACCTTCAGCAGAAATTCACGTGTCTCAGCTCCAGCAGTGACTGTCGTGGGCATCAGATCTGGATAAGGAAAGGCACAAAAAGTGAGGATTATAGCTCTCCCTCTTACTCTCTCTCTTAAACTCTATCTCTTATCGTTGGACATAAAAATGGTAGCGCGTGCGCTGCTGCTGACAGTCTAAATGACTTTTTGCCTTATCTAGCCACAGTACCTTGTTATGATATATGATTATTATTGTGATGATGATTTGTGGGCGGGCTTTGTTTGGAATTGAAACGGGCTGAACCATAAAAAACAGATTTCATTTTGATGCCCTTTAAATGGGTTAGACCTTTCTAATATGTAATTCGCAAGCTTATGAACTTCATATTTAAGAATTATTTCAATGTTATAGAATATATTTTATGCGAAAAAAGCAATTGTTAGAAAATGTTCCTTTACACCGAATTTACCGAACGCATAAACAAGTATAAGTATGTAAATATTGCCCTGCTATGCGATTCTCATGAATTCAATCAGGTCTTTCAGGCTCTAAAGCTTTGAGTGTTTAGGGTTATATTTAAAATTGTTGTTGGCTATTAAATCAATGGACACTCTGCACTCAATTTCACTTTTTCAATAATTTGTATATGTTAAATTATTTGTTTTGAAACTATTATTAAATGAAAATATAGGTGTATATGAATTGATTTGCTTACATTTATATAAAAACCAAATGTATGTATGTGTATTTAAATGCATGAGCTTGCATGTATGTATGTGTTCAAATATGTGTGTATATTGAGCTGAGCTAAGATGAAAATTAACAAAAAGCGTATTCATAAATATATGTAACTCTACTACACAACTCTAACTAATACAAGTAAGACTTAGCAGTCAATCTGCGTTTTTAAGCTAATAAATATTATCTCTGCTTTTATTTTCTTTCAGTGATGTGTATAAAAGCTCTTCTTCCGCCTACTAATAGATGACGATAAAATATTCGTGAGTGTGAATTTACAGGTGAGTACGTAATTACAAATATATATTTATCTCTATATATAAAACTGTTTGTCCTGACTAACTGACTAATTGGTTACTGAGTTACCTAATGTGGGGAAGGTTCATGCTAAGATGGGGTTGTGGGAATTTCCACCCGCAAGTGTGAAAAAATCGCGAAAATAATTTCCAAGCCTTCTCGTCGGATAATATGATTCACAGATTTGTTGAACGGAGTTTTAAGTTTTGTCCGATTGGCTTCAAACTTATTTTGAAAGCCCTTCACAAGAACTTAATGAATACGTGTTTCATCGATTTCGAAACTTCCACCCGCAACTGTGGTAAATTGCCAGAAAACATTTTTATAAAAGTTTTTTGTTTACCAGCCGACCGGCTTCAAAATCGTTTTCAAAGATCTTTACAAAAATGTATCTAATACGATTTTTACTCTTTTTACAAAATCCATCCCTGTTTAATGAACCAAAGTTTTTTCTTCGGCTTCAAATTCTCAACGCAAGACTAACATTGGTGGAAACTGTTAATTCGAACTTTTGGTTCTTTATTTTATGGACTTTGCCACTATTTTGTTTTAACCATAAAAAACTTAAAACGTGGATAGATAGAACGAGTAGATTTCAATTGTGTTATGGGCGGAAAATGGGTAAAAAAATTGAATCTAAAATTTGAAGCCCAATTATTGCCGCGGGCAAGGCCAAGAAATACCCGCTTGTTATTACATGTACCCCAATATACATATATATTTA